ATCACAAATATGTACTGAGTGATGAAAAACCCTTTGGCAGCAATAAAAAGTTGTCCGTTAAAAAAAAAAGTTTCACCATCATCTGTGCATGTATACACACAAACATTCGTGTTCTCTTAGGCATGCAGTCTGCTCCCCACAGAGGGCTGTGATCCAAAAGACTGTCAGTATTCATTCACTCATAAAACATTTGCTGAGTATTGTGAGGTAATGTACTAGGAACCAGGGACGTGAGGGAATAAATCCTTAACTAATCAAGCTCACTGCTTACCGAGGAGCTCTGCAAGCCCATCAGGAACCAAATAGGGGAATATTCAGGATACTGTGGAAGTATGATGCTAAGGACAAACTTTGCTATTATATATTCTGGAACTTTTAAAAATTAAATATGATTTTTGACATTGGAAAAGTTACATTTCAGCAGAGAAAATAGTGGAAGTAACAAACACCACCAAGAAATTATTACTTCACTTTAAAAACTGTGGGGACTTTGTGAGTTTTTTGACACTTTTGTCTAAGTGTTTAAATAATCCTGAATTACAATTAGTCACACAGTAAAAAGGAGATTTCTTTTTTTAATTTCAGCTTGATAAGGTTTATGAGGCGACTTCAAAAATATGTGGGAAAATGGAATGAAAAGCTAATAGAGAACAAACAAGCAGACTTCAAGCAGCCTGGTGGACTAAGCAGAACTCTACATGGACCTTCTACAACAAAGACCCGAGAGACAAATTAAACAGATACAGATAATAATCCTGGGACCTGGAGTTTCAGAGGAAAAAAAAAAAAGTGGATTGAATACCAACTATAAGAAGCTTAATAATGCATTGAAAGGGGAGAAAGACAAGACGTTATCAGCTGGTTTGAAGCAGTGTGACCACCTTGAACTTTAGCGAGCAGCTTTCAATAGAAACTTCACCCTGATAATCAGAGATCTGCTGGCTCAGGACCAGAACAATGTCCACATGGAGGTTGAGAACAAGAAAGGTGGGATCCTCCTTTGTTCCTTACACCCTTCTGGTGACCAGCAGAGTGGCCAGCACACACTTTACTCACCCAGTGGCTGACTACACAGCGCCTCTGCCCTCTGTACAGCCCCTGGTCTACCTGAGGTGAGAAGTACGCAATCTTTCTGTATCAGCCTGCTGGTGCATCACCTCCACGTTTGGATGCACATGAGCTCTGCCTCATCACAACAGCAGAAAGCCCAGTGCTAGAAAGGCGACCTGTAGCAGGTACCACATTGTTGGGATAAGAAGCCTTTCCACAACCATTTGCCTTGTCCCAAGCTCCACTCTAAGCCCCAGAGAGTTCCCTTCTGGGAACAAGCACTCTGCTGAAGCCACCATCCGAGCCTGTTTAAACTACTATGGGATCAAGGCCCTGACCCCAAAAGGGTATTCCAGCAGGAACTGTACCTCGGACTTGGCATCCCATTATCTCATCCATACCACTCTGCTCTCGGAGCCCCTACTCTGGCAGAGGGCGCTGACCCGTAATGGATACCCTGCTCTCAGCCATTTTCTCCCATCTTGGCCCTGCTCTAGTTTTCTCCTTTGCTTATTTTCTCACCCTTTAAAAAAAACAAACGTTCTTGGCTTTCCTTTTCTAATTCTTTCCTTCTGCTTATCTTCTCTATTTTATTCCCTTCTTTCTTTTACTTTTCCCTTGTTTTTCTCTACTGTTACCTTGTTTTACTCCTCCCTAATTTTGCTTATGATGCTTTTTATTTCTTTTCCGTTGGCTTTACTTTTTCTTCCTTTAATTATTATTTTTGGGCCGCGAGGTGACACACCGCCATGGGCGACGAGGAGGAGACTTACCGGCTGTGGAAGATCCGCAAGACCATCATGCAGCTGTGTCATGACCGGGGCTACCTGGTCACGCAGGACGAGCTAGACCAGACGCTGGAGGAGTTCGAAGCCCAGTTTGGGGGCAAGCCGAGTGAAGGGCGACCTCGGCGCACAGATCTCGCAGGGTTGGTGGCCCACAATGACGACCCCACCGACCAGATGTTCGTCTTCTTCCCTGAGGAGTCCAAGGTGGGCGTCAAGACCATCAAAGTGTACATGCAGAACATCATGCGTGCCCTCATTGTCGTGCACCGGGCATAACGCCCTCCGCCAGACAGTCGCTGGTGGACATGGCCCCGGGTACACCCTGGAGCAGTTCCCACAGCGGAGCATGAGCTGGTGCCGGAGCATGTGGTCATGACCAAGGAGGAGGAGACAGAGCTGCTGGCCCGATATAAGCTCAATGAGAACCAGCTGCCCGGATCCAGGCTGGAGACCCTGGGGCGCACTACTTTGGGATAAAGCGGGGCCAGGTGGTTAAGATCATTTGGCCTAGTGAGACAACAGGCAGGTTCATCACCTACCGGCTGGTGCAGTAATCAAACCCATGCGTGAGGCCTTGCTTGTGTGGCAGAAATCGCTCCCTGGATGCTGCCCCCTGCCACGACCCTGCTCAGTGGTACCAGCCCCCACGTGCTCTGGGGCCAGCTTGGCACTGGCCCTGATCTGTCCTGGACCCAGGCCACTGTGGGCGTCTTGCATAGGGTGTCAGCTCCCCACCAACCCTGGAGACATGGACTGTGGGACTAGCACCCTCGACATCACCCAGGACAATGACTGCAGCTCTGGCCACCGGGGGCAGGTGGGTTCTTGTTGGAGCTCATGCAGCCAGAGCCTCACTGGCTGCTGACTGGGAAGAGCAGGCCGGGCCCAGCTCTGGGTGTCAGGAGAGACCAAGTGGACCAGCATGTGGCTAATCGAGGCAGTGTTTGCAGGCTGGATCTGCCCAGAACATGGCGGCTGGTGAAAATAAACATTATTAGAGAAAAAAAATTATTTTTACTTACTAAATTATTTTTCTTTGCTCTTGGCTTGCCTACTTTCTTCTGCCTCGCCCTCCCCCCTTTCTTTTATTTTTGCACCCACCCAATGGGAGACAGCAACTGCATCCACATGGCCCACCACACTCATACGTCCCATAGAAACACCTAATGAGTCACAGCCACCACCTCATTGATTGAAAGCAGGCAACACCAGCCAGACCCACCCTCAGCTGAGGTATATAAACAATAAGCCAAGAACAATGGGCACACTCAGTCTCTAGCACCTCCCCTAAGAAACAGGTGGTGAGTAAGTGAAGTCTCACCACCATACAATCGACAATTAAATTCAAATGCAACAACTCCACAACGTCTTACAGAAAACTTCAATTCACATGAAGAAACAAAATGCATGGCTGAAAAAAGCGACCAAAATACGGAGCCAGAAACACTCCCGAAGAAGTGGCACTGGAACTACTTGATAAGGATTTCAAGGAAAGAATCAGGGAAAAGCTTCGGAAAAAGAAATGCTATCTACAAAAGGAGCCAGTAAGATTAGGCTCTAGTTTCTCAACAAAAACACTTAATTCCAGCAAGAAGGCAATGGAGTGGCAGACATAAAATCCTAAAAGAAAAAAAAATGCAAACAAAGAGCCATATAGTCGGTAAAAATGTCCCTTAAAAAATGATGACAAAATTAGGACATTTCCAGATACACAAAGTAAAGGAATTTGTAAAACCAGACCAACCTTACAAAAACCACTATGAGTAGTTCTTTGGGCATAGAAACAAGAACAATACAAAACAAGCTAAGATTCGTGTATTTCTATCACCAACACCCAGAAGTCAGCCCAGATACAGAAGCACTCAGACTGAAAATTGAGTGCCAGAGACATGAATTTTTAATGAAGACAATTACAAAGTAAATACAGGGAATAGTGTAGTTACAGAACTTTTAAACTGAGAGTAATTCAAGATATCAAGATAGAGTAAACTATTTTAAACTTGGGAAAATAGAAATTACAGGGTTTCTCAAAAAAACCATAAAGATTTAGTTACCATTAAAACAACCGTAATAAAGAAAATGGCAAAAAACCCAAAACAAAAACACATGAGCAAAATGAACTCAGTACAGAAAATTATGTGGGATAACAAAACCATACAAAAACCCACAGCAAAATGACAGCAATAGATTCATAACTATTAATGATTACACCGAATTTGGGTACATCAAATATGCCAGACAAGAGACATAGGGTAGCTGAAGGGACAAGAGAACAGGAACCATCCATAGGCTCTCTACAAACACAAAATAAACTACAAGTTGAAGAATGGGAAAAAATTATCAAGCTAATGGCAATCCAAAAAGAGCAGGAGTGGTGATATTAATTTCTGATATGATTTAAGGTGAAAACCTCACCCATGCTGTATAGACAACTGTCCTTTCGAGGTACACACATCCTTCATAAGCCATAGCAGGATTCAATTTGGAAGCCCCACTAAGTGAACTGTACTTTACCTAAAACACACCTGTAGCAGATAAAGGAAGTGAACTATTCCATTGGACTTACGGCTGAAACTTCCTAGTGTGAGAAGCAGCATACGACTATAACCCAAGGGTATGGATTTGGAAATCACTGGACCTCAGTTCAAATCCTTGCTTTAAGGGTGCCCAATAAATGGCAGCTCACGACTACCATATATTTGCTATTTTCATACTCTTTAGTTTGTTTTGTCATGCCTTAGTCCAGCAGGCACAGTTCTGCCTTTGTGAATAAGCATTATTGAAAGTTTGACCCTATCTCCAACCCTCATTTGCATAATAATGTCCAGTCACTTAAGGTTTTAATCTGTACAAGTCAATAATCCATGTATTTTAGTCTAAAAAGCTGTCCTATGCATGTATACTTTCCATTTCTCAATAGTATTTTAAATCAGTTTGGAAACTGATTATGGTAGCAATTGTACAATACTGCTTAACATGATTGAACTATGGAATGATAGATGTATTAACTCCCAATGAATAATAAATGATAAATATAAAACAAAAAATAGTATCTAAAATTATGTATCATTGGCTAAATTAATGATGCTATCATTAATGGGGATGATTTATAATGTTCCCCAATAAAATGATAATGATGTCTCTAAAATGAACCAGAGACATATATAAACTGTAGCTATATTAGTGGATTTTGAGCTTGCACTAATGGTAACCCTAATCTAAAAATAATTAAGTTGTTATGATGTGGTCCTACTCTATACTTGCCCTCATGAAGAAATCACTGAAGATACCGGGGCTATAGAAGAAACCAGAGAGTGCTCAGCTATCAGAAAGGATAATGCTTGAATTCTAAAACGCTTGCCTTTTAAAAAGCAGCCATCTTAAAAAAAAAAAGTATGGTGCTTTCTTAAAAAGTTGGGACTAGAACTATCACATTTTCCAGAAATCTCTCTACTTGGTATATATCCTAGAGAAGTAAGAAATGTGACACAAATAGATATCTACACATCTATGTTCATTGTGGCACATCCAAAGAAACTATCTGCCGACCCCTTTAGTACTAGAATGTTCTCATTCTCCTCAACAGTCTTGGCAGCTAAAAAACCAGCAATCACACTCAGGTATTTTGGGTGGGCTCTGACATCAGTTAAGCACCCTGGTAGCACAGTGAATTAACTGTTGGGCTACAAACCACGGGGTTGTCTGTTCGAACTCAACTGCCACTCCTCAGAAGAAAGATGAGCCTGGCTATTCCTGTAGAGTTAACTGGAAACCGAATGGGCCCACTTCTACTCTGCCCTGTAGGGTTCCTGTGAGTGGAATTGATTCATGGCACTGAGTTTGGCCTTGTTTTTTTTAAACAACAGCTAAAAACTTGTTGAAAGGACTACTACTGAGAGCATGTATTTCTGGGTAAAGGTTGAATTGGTACTTGATTTGGCCAGCACAGAAGCACTTTATCTTTCTGGAGTGGCACAACATTCTGATTTGTAGGCATTCGTCTCTCTCTCTTCCCTGGAGATTGCCTTTTCTTTCCTTCTGAAGCTGACATGGGATCCTTTGATATCCCTCCTCCCTGGCAGAGCTGTGAGCCTCACGATGAAGACTTGGAGACTCGGTGGACCTTTACCCCTCCGCTTGGCCTACAAAGGAAGGAGAAGAGCAGGAACAGGCCCAGGATGAGCAAGCAGGGGCTCAAGCTGGATAGATGGCTGCAACTGGTGGGCCATATTAGTCATCCAATCACTCCCATAATGACGGCAAACCTGTGGTCACCGCCACCACATGTGCCTTCGTGGGGATCAGGCTCCCTTGTCGCAGGGCAGCAGGTGGGGAGGTAGAAGAGGAAACGCTTTGTGCTGCCGAAGGGGATAAGCCACCTAAGGGAAATGGTGAGAAGTGCTGCGGTGTCTTGAAGCCATTTTTACATAAAGATCGCACTGCATGTGTTTGTGTTGTATGAAATCAGTTTCCTCTATTGTGTATTCCTCTTTGCTTATAAGTCCCTGGCATTCTTCCACTGTGCCTCTGTACTCAGATCACCTTTTCTGTTCTATCAACGGCTCTACCTCCCGCACACCGAACATTCTCAATATTCTTATCTGTTGGAGGACAATTGTCTCAAGAGAGCTTCTAGAGATCAGGAGACAATTGTCACTGCATGACTGATTTCTACTCAGTCTTCCTTTCTCGAGATTTACTTATCTCAACTTGAGCTATTCCATATGGTAACATGCTGGGTCAGCACATTAAACATTCTATACTCACCTACTATTATCTCAAAACTAAATTTATACTTGGCACTATTAATAGTCATTCCAATAACTCTCAGTCCACATTCAGAGTGCTGAGGCATTTGCCGTTGTTTTTGGAAAGGAAGACTTAAGCATATTGTTAGTATTTTCAACTGCGGTCCTTCTGTCCCCTCCCAAGATGTTTATTTGCTGAACTTTGGACCATTATAACAGTTATATTTTCTCCTCTCACTTTAATAAATTTAAAGGCAACATGTGTGTTATTGTAGGAAATAAATAATAAACTAATGATAAAATTAAAATGTTGTAAGAGTAGTTTAAAATTAGAAATTGACTATTCCATAGGCTAAACATATGAAGTATATTTATGCTTTACATTGTTACAATCATCTTTAAATCATTGGAGTATCTTGCAATACTTACGTACAGAGGAATTCATTGTCAGATGTAAGAGTTACAAAAGAAGATGTGAAATTAGCTAGGACAAAGAAAAAATTTTTAATTGCCCTTTGAATTAGAAGTTAAGTGTTTAGAGTACTTAATTTTCATCTACCACCATCATTGATATATAGTCCTTGTAATGGATTGAATTTGATTCTGGATCAATTGCAGCAGACAGCATTTCTTCCATTTCCTCTTGAGAAAAAGGTTCCCCTGAGAAGAACGAGAAGGAAAAAGGCATCATTTACAATTTCATGATTTTTTTCTTTCTTTCTTCCTCTTTCCCTTTCCCCTCGCAAGCGTAATTGCCACGGTGCCCCGAGCCCCCCCACTGTGTCCACAGTTACTCTCCCCTGGGCTTCTGAGACAGTACATCAATCTAGTTCAAAGAGCATGCTGTTCTGGATTTATCTTACATAACAGGTATCACAGATTAAGCAAGCTACAGAGCTAATCATTTCACCCCAAACAGCAGGAAGACATAATGACATGGAGAGTAAGGCTGTTTACTTATTTCAATAAAATTACTGAGATTTTTACAGGATTAACCTGAAGGTCCAGTCTGAAAGGAAATCTAATAATTATATTTAGCAAGGGTATGGAGAAAGAATTATTTGCTTGCTATGCAAAATTTCACAGGGCAGCCACCCCATCAATAGTGAACATGATCCCCACAGAGATCTTGCACAAAGAGTCGTTGTGGTGCGGTGGCTAAGCACGCAGCCCTTAGCTAAAAGGTTGATGGTTTGAACCTACCAGCCACTCTGCAGGAGAAAAGACCTGGTGAATTCAACTCCGCCTAGGGAGGATATGAATCAGATTTGACTTGGTGCATACAATAATGACAGGCAAAATTACTGGAGACAGGATAATAGAGACTTGAAACTAACGATTCTCTCTCTGGATAGTCCCTAGCCAGGCCTGGCCAACTTAGTCATGTCAACTAAGCCCCTGGAGAGATGGCCCTCAGCAGCTGTTTCAAGACAGATCCTTTGTTATAGTTTGGCCCAGTACTGATGTCAAGGGAAACCAAAAAACAGATAGAAAATCGGGGGCATTACTTGGATTCAGATAACAGGTGAAGGCCATCTGGATATTGGTTTCACGAAAATGAGAGGCAACCTACAAAGGAATGCTGGGAAGGCTGCAGACTATTTATGAGAGGACTTTGTGCTTACATTAAAAATATAGGAATATTAAGATCACTACCAACGCCTGGTGGTATAGCAGGCTATGAAGTGAACTGATAACCACAAGGTCAACAGTTCGAACCCACCAGTGGCTCCAAGGGAGAAAGATGAGACTATCTACTCCTGTAAAGATTTCAGTCTCAGAAATCTAAAAGGGCAGTTCTACTCTGTAAACTATAGAGGTGCTATGAGTCGGAATCGACCCGATGACAATGAGTTTGTTTATTTTTAGAAGCAGCTCACCAGGACAGTCTTCCAAGGTGCTTCTGGGTTGGTTCAAATGATCAACCATTCAACTATCATAGTCAAGTCCTTAACAGAGACTCTGGAATTCAGTAAATAATACTGAAATAATTCAAAGATTTTGATGAGGAGGAATATTTAATATGGGGGATTCTGAAATAATGTTTACATACCAAGAAAAGAAAAAAGTGATTAAGAGATAAATTCTGAATATTTAACTGTTAAATACTGAATCCACTGCCAATCGTGCAATAATAGGAACTACTAAGTCCTGAGGAACTTACAAGAGTACGAATAACAAAACTACTTGCTGCCACTGTGTGCCAGGCTCTGATCATTCATTGATATTAATGAAGTGAACGTCCCACCCACCTTCTGAGAGGTACCACTGTTTCTATCACCATTTGCAGCGGAGGACACCAGGATACAAAGGAACAAGGCAGCCTGCCCCAGTAGTGAGTGGTGGGAATGGAATCTGAATACCACACTCCACTACTTAGAACGAGACCTTGATTACAGTACAACCCAGACACTCTTGGACAAGGAAAGAGATAGGCAGTATTGGATCAAGGTTGGGAGGGAAATTGCTTAAAATGGTTAAAAGCAGAGTCTTCAGAGCAGACTGCTCAAATGCCTGTGAGTTCAAATGCTAGCTATGCCTTACTAGATTTGGGGCAAGTCATTTCACCTCTTTGTACCTCGGCTTTTCTATCAGTAAAAATAAAGATGCTAATGAGACTATTTCACAGGGTTGCTTTGAAGACTAAATATATTACTTGAAAACACTTGGGAAAATCCCTGGTGCATAGGAAGCAATGTGCTTAACACGTGTTTTTTAAAGCTTTTCCCTGCTGCTAGATATAGACTTATAGGAACTTGATTCCATGTGATTTATGATGTTCATCATATGATATCCTGGTCATTTATAGTACATATTTTCACACTAATGAGTATGTGTGATGTTCTGTGGGTATAGTGCAAGTAACTTTAATGAACATAAAGCTGACTCACTACTATGGAGTCGGTTCTAACCCACAGCAACCCTATGGGATAGAGCACCACTGCCCCGTGGGTTCCTGAGCCTATAAATCTTTGCAGTAGAAAACATCATCTTTCTCTCATGGAGTGGCTGGTGGTTTTAAACTGCTGGCCTTTTGGTTAGCAGCCAACACGTAACACATTCATTCAAAAAACATTTATAAGACTGCATATGTGTAGAATGTTGTTTGAAGTGCTAGGAATACCATAATATATGAGATTGCTCCCCTGCCCTCAACAATTCACACAAGTAAGTTTTACCATCGTAAGAAACCTATTTTCTCTGCCTTCTCAGAACAATCTTCCAAGCCTAAGACATCTTATAGTGTGAATTTTTTCATAAATTAGTTTTATTTCCCCAATAAGATTACAATATCCTTAAAACAGGGAGCGGATTTTAGTATCATTATCCCTAACTGCCCTTACTAAATACTAAACACACAGTAGGCACACAGTACTAAATTAATATTGCCTAATATAAGCTAAGATTTACTTTCCTTAAATTAATCCTTAGGATTAAGAGGCTGATGCTCTTAAAGTCCTAACATTCCCATCAAAGTTAATCCCCACGCTAAATTAATAATGTCTGTGACTGGCATGTCACCTTTCCTGGCTCTCGCTCCTGTACTCTCACCTGAGGACAGAGCAGCACACAATGGGCAAACCAGTTGGGCATGTAGACACAGTCATTCCCTATTGAAATTGACTTGTACTTTTAATTCTGATTCAAGTGATTAGGGATTTTGAATCATTCAGGTCTCAATCTGCAAACAAGGGCTCTAAACCAAGGAGATGAAATTCTTAACTTTGCATGGAAAGAAGGGAGATGACCATTATAAGAATGATAATGTCTTCCAGTCTCCTGATATGCAGGGAAAATTCATTTACATACTAACCTAACCAGACAGAATTTCTCAAGGTAACATGTTGGCATATATAGATGTGTAGATATCAATCATAAATGTATATGTGTATATATAGTCCATGTTGAAAGAAAGCCATTTGCAAAAAAAAAATTTTAATTGAAAAATTCTTACGGTATGTGACTTTATTAACTAAGGCTGGTTTACCTGTACCTTCACTAGATGAAGAGCAGGGGTTTAAGTGGAGAGCAAATGTTTTGAGAATGATGAGGGCAACGAATGTACAAATGTGCTTGACACAATGGATGAATGTATGGATTGTGATAAGAGTTGTATGAAACCCCATTAAAATGATTAAAAAATAAAAATAAAAAATGGAATCACTATAGGCTCCCATTCAAATCTTCAATTGAATAAGGGGCATTGTTGTACAGTGATTGACAGTTTTGTTTTGCAGGTGGCATACGTCCTATCGTGGAAACACTCTAAGGAAGTATGCAAAAACAGTATGGCAGCAATATCTGACCTTCAACTTCACAAAGGGGAGAGAGCCCTATTAGGATCAGCCACTCAGATCTGATTCCAATGAGGTAGAAGTCAGACATGTCTTAGACTGGGTTCTCTAGACAAGCAAAATAAGTGACGTTCTTGTGTGTGCGTATGCTGTTATTACTGTGAGGTTCTCTCCACTGGGTCTGACTCATAGGAACCCGATGTACAACCGAACAAAAAGCTGCCTCGTCCTGTGCCATCCTCACAACTACTCTTGCTTAAGCCCATGGTTGCAACCACCATGTCAACCCACCTTGTTGAGGGCCTTCTTCTTTTTCACTCCCCTCTGCTTTACCAAGCATGAGGTCCTTCTCCTGACAACATGTCCAGAGTATGCGAGACTGTCTGGTCACCCTTCTTCCATTACAATTTGTTGGTTGTTTGGGAAGTGCGTGGTATTTTCAAGATTCCTTGCCAGAACCACAATTCAAATGCATCGATGCTTCTTCAGTTTTCCTTATTCAATGTCCAAGTTCACATGCATATGAGGCTATTGAATATATCATGGCTTTGGCCAAGCATACCTTCGTTCTCAAAATAACATCCTTGCTTTCCAACGCTTTAAAAAGGTCTTGTTGTAGGCTTCCACAGGTTTGTTGCAGCACAGTTTACAATAGCAAGAAGCTGGAAACAGCCTAAGTTCCCATCAGTGGAAGATTGGATTAAAAAAAACTGGTATATACACACAATGGAATACCACGCATCCCTAAAAAACAGCAATGAAACTATGAAACGTCTTACCACATGGAGGGATCTGGAAGACATTCTGCTGAGTGAAGTTAGTCAGTTACAAAAGGGCACATGTTGTATGAGTCCAGTGCTGTAGGCACAAGCAGCACAACGGGCATGAGCTCAGGCTGGTAGGGCATCCAGTCTGCTGGTCAGGGGGTGCAGACAGCCTGGTAGAGAGCCTGAGCCCTGCCAATGAACCCTCACCATCCGCTCCGGTTAAAAGTATTTTGAAGGTCCTTTTGCCAGAGGGCACCTCATGTCAGCTGGGATCAAACTGTTAAGGGAGGGGAAGGAGATGCTGTCTACTGAGTGGCTGTCATCCAAAGCTATGATGAGGTCCACCCCCCCACCCCCACCCCCCGACTCTGGACAGGCAGACAGCCCTATCAGAGGGATGAGGGATTCTGATGAGAAGAACAAGCCAGGAGAGGGGAAAGGAAGCAAGCTTGTCTGGGGGAAACACAAATGCATGACTGTTGGTAGGAAAAGTGGGAGGACCAACCTCGGGAAGAGTAACTGAAAATGCTTTTGGGGACCTAAGCAGGGAGTGTCCCTGGTGGCATGCACCAAATGGGCCACATGGAGCCAGGCTTCTGAGTGCATCCTGGAGACCCAGGCCAGGTGCCATGGGACACTGAATACTGGATCTTCAAGATGCATAACATGCTCCAGAGGCTGCATCAGTGAGACCCGATGCGGAACTCCACTAGGTGAACTGGACTCTACCCAAGACACACTTGCAACCGGAGGATTTAAGTTGGAAAATACATGGTGTCTGAGGAAGCGAAGACAGCAGTACCAAGACTGCTGACCTTTGGTGGACGGACAAACATGGTCTTGCTCATCAATGCCCTATATGCTGTATTACAGTATGTGTTATTCCAGCAAACCTGTGGCTGACATTCTCAGTAATTATTGTGGTAAATTCTCCCTCCCAATTAACCCCCATTGTTCGTGTAAATAGTGTCCAGCTATGAAAGGACTGATTCTGTACAAGTGAATAATTCAGGTGCTGTGATATGGAGTTAGCCTACATTGGACACATATCCCTCTCTCAACAGGGTTTTAAAATATATATATGTAAAACCAGAGGACTAATCAAAGACAATATTAACAGAAGATCATTATTTCCCAGGGGGATGATCAATAAGACTCTCGACCATAAATTAACAAGGAGGTCTCTAAAGGGAGCCAAAGGCACATTAAAAACAAAACAAAACAAAGCATAGATCCAGGAATGGGTTTGGGGCTCACATTAAATCCTAACTCCACCATAAGAGCAATTAGTTCTTATATCATTGCCCTGCTCTATACTCATCCCCAGGAAGGGAACACAGAAGATACGGATGCTATTAACAAAATGTAGTAAAGAAATTAGATGTTGCCTGGATATCAGATAAAATGGCATCTGGGGTCTTTTTTTTTTTTTTTTTAATTAAAAGATCTTTTTATTGGGGCCTCTTACAATTCTTGATACAATCCATACATCAATTGTATCAGACATATTTGTCCTTATATTGCCATCGTTCTCTTCTCTTGACTGCTGCACTGCTCCTTCCAGGTGCACTGATTGTGGATCCAAGCAAGACAAAGTCCTTGACAACTTCAATCTTTTCTCCGTTGATCAGGATGTTATCTGCTGGTTCATGCAGCATTCCCTTGTTTCTAAACCATGCAGCATTCCCTTGTTCTGTTCACACAATTGTCTCTTGATCCAAGTACAGGTTCCACAAAAGCACAATGAAGTGTTCTGGAATTCCCATTCTTCTCAAGGTTATCCATAATTGATTATGGTCCACATATGGATATGTTTGGAAAGGTTTATAGAAAATAGATGGCTTATACAGTCGTAGAGACAGGCAAGTCTGTGGGTCAGGTGTCAGGTTGGCAGTTTCTCTAGTCTCAAGTAGTTGCAGAGGCTGATGAATACAAGACTGGCAGGTTAAATGACAGGCTTCTGGTTGCAGACATTAATGAATTCAAGGTCAGCAAATAAAATAGCAGGTCACTGACAACTTCCAGGATTGGCAGGCTACTGGCTCCGGTCCACAGAACCAGAAGTCAGTGGATGAGTCAGGTGTAGGATTCAGACATAGCAAAAGGCAAGCAAGCTTTCTCATATCCTCCATTTATATTGAAAGCAGGTAAGACTCCTAAGGAAACTTACATTCAATTGGTTGGCTGCTCATAGCAGATCTCATTATGAAAGTGATTAAATTATGTTAATTACTGATCGCATCCTAGTGTATTACTGTTTAACTGCCAAACTACTGAGAATCCTAGCCTAGTCAGGTTGACAAAAAACCTTTATCCTCCTTTGTAAGTGTTACAAAGCTCTTTTAGTTCTGCTGATAAATACACTGCCAGTAAACCTTGGTCCAACGGTGTTCAGCTCTTCCACTCTGGAAACCTACCACTCTACCTCTTGTTAGTCTTCTGGTTCTGCTGTCTCTGCTTCTCTACCTCCACTCACTGTCTCTCGTTGTCTCTGGTGTTGTGACACCAGCTTTCTGGTGTCTGGCACTAAGGAATTTTAGTGCAGTGATTTTAGGTCACCCTCCACTCACTCCTGGCTCTTCTTTCTCTATGCTGGTGAGCTCTCCCTTTTCACCTTTGAGATGGCTCATTTTAAATCTAGCAGAAAACAAAACTGACAAATCCCTTGCTAGGGTTCAATATACCTTGTTTGAATGGCTCCACTACAAAGGTAAACCATGTCCTTTATTTACATCATCAGCAAGCTATGTAATTCTTTAGTGGGCCACAGGCACCTCACATTTGCATAGTCCTATACAGTCGTTTGGTGAGATTTATAAAGACAATGGTAGGGATAGCCAAGTCATTCACTATACAGCAAAGTGGAATGACTGAAACTTATAGAAGCAATCATTATACTTTATACATTACACCATACACTATAGAAGCAATCATCATTATACATTATACTTACAAATTTCAATGACACAAGAATCTGTCTCTCCTTGTCCCACCTTTGTCCTCTTACTTCACATGAAATAGCAAACACCCCAAAGTAAAAATTTTAAAAAACCAAACCATTGCTTTGAGTCAATTCCAACTCATAGTGACCCTAGAGAGCAGAGTAGAACTTCCCTATAAGGTTTCAGAGGCTTTAAGTCTTTATGGGAACAGACAACTTTATCTTACTCCTAGAGTACCTAGTGGATTCGAACCACCAACCCCTGTGACTAGCAACCTGATGCTTAACTCACTTTACCACCAACATAAGATTAATAAATGATTCTTTTTGATGATAACTGATTTTAAAATGTGCCTTTATATTACATATGGTTTTTTTCTGTATATGTGTTGTTAAAATTAAGGATCTCTTCTATAAATCATTATTACAAGTTCAACAGTAAGGAACTCTTACCTTCTTCAGTCATATACTTGACCAGTTCTTCCTTAGTGAGAAACCCGCGTTTAGCTGGATCTAATACCTTAAGTTGGAAAAAAGACACGTATGATGATTTTTTGATAATTCTACATTACTAACTTCTCATGTAAATATAGATCAATACATAGAATCTAGGTCTTACACACCTCAAAAGCCCGAAGAAGGATATCTTCTGGAATTGGTCTGTATCTATAATCATGCAATATAAAGAATAAGTGCCACAGTAGTTACCTTCAATTTCTACATAATAAGTGACTACATGAAAGTAAAATTGCTTACATACCAAGTTAACAAAATGTCCCTCGCTGATATATTTTTGGATTTCTGGATATGAAAGTGGAAGGGTCTTTACCTCATAGTAAATAGTTAGATCAAAATCACTGGAATACCTGATGTTACCTAATACCTTTTTCATCATTATATAAATCAACTTATCTGAGAATAAAACCTCTTCTATAAAACAATTATGATAAGCTAATGCTATACTTTTTCTAGAAAAATAATTTTGAACAGTTCTTGTGTATCACTGGTAATTCAAAGTAGGAGATGATAACATGTTGGTTTATTGTCTACAGCTTATTTGCCATTGAGTTATGCTTTGCTTAGATTAATTCTAAAGTGTTGATTTTTCTAAGCATATGACAACTGAAAGTTCAGAAGTAGAGTAAAAGGTTATAAGGATGCTAGCTGCCTTAAGATAAATATTGGTTAAATATGCTGGGTGAAAATGTCAGGTGTTTTGAAATTAACATAATTTAATCACTATTTCGCTTTAACAGTTGCATTTACTTACCTTCTTTCCAGCAGTACTTCTGTCATCACTGGAAGGAATTTTTCTAATCGGATGTATCCAGTGGGTTCTTCTTCTTCTACCTAAACAACCAACAAAGAAAAGTAATTTTTCATTCCCTAAAATGTGCTGAGCAGCTATATTCTTCTAGCACTGAGTCAAGTGTGGGGATGTGATGATGAGCACACCATGGTTTTATATACAGCTAGGGGAGAAATACGTTAATAACAACAAAATAAAAACCAAAACCCTCTCTTACTGATATCTTAATGTCATAAATTTCCACTTACTTGTCAGAGTTTGTTATACTATGGTATATTACATGTTACCACTATGCTTGAAGCTATCCTACTACTATTTTAAATACTCAAAAAGTAGGCAGACTACAAAGGAGGATATGGTGATCTATCTACTCCTGAAAGAAAATTGGCCAGGAAAACTCTTCTGAGTAGGAGTGGAACATTGTAGTATACAGCACCGGAAGATGAGACCTCTGGTTGGAAGGCACTCAATATACAACTCGAGAAGAGTTGCCTTCTTAAAGCAGTCGACTTTAATGACATGGACGGAGTTAAGCTTTTGGGACCTTCAATTGCTAATGATAAGACTAAAAATGAAAGAGAGAAAAACAATGGGAGACATTCAATCATCAGAACACGGAGTGCATGAATTATCCGCTTAAGCAAACGGGAAGTCATAAAAATTGAAATGGAAAGCTTGAAGATTGCTATCCCGGGTGTTAGTGAGTGGAAATGGATTGTTGTTCCTGGCCATTTTGAATCAGGCAAGCATGATCTACTATGCCAGGAATAAGAAATTTAAGAGGAATGATCTTGCATTCATTGTCAATAAGAATAATTCAAGATCCACCCTAAAGGGCAACACTAACATCTATATGACTACAAGGACGACTGGTTAATGTGACTATTATTCAAATGTACACACCAATCCTTGTACTGATCCTTCTAAAAGAAATTTTGTCTTCGGGGTCCCTACGGGTCAGAACTGACTCGATGGCACCCAACCACCGTTATAAATGTGCGTAAGCACAACGGCGTCGAGGACTGGGGATCCTTGAGAGCACACAGCAGAGGAAATGACATCTGAGCTGGTTTTTAAAGCAAGAGCAGCAGTAACAAGAAACGGCAACATGAAGGGCCCTCCAAAATGCAAGAACCGCGTGTGACAGAAGGAAGCAGAGGCACTGGAGCACAAGAAGAAGGC